AAGTCTGTTTGAGCTATTGTCACAAGGAAGGTATGTTGAAATGATACGAAATTTAAAGTCATGTTTAAAGAAAAGGTCAATTGAGATAGCATAGCCTGGAACAGATTTAGTATTATGTATATGAGAAGTTAGGGAGTTGCGTATCATAATAGAGGTACCAGCTTTTGAGCTATCTGTACAGGATTGAAAGTAAGTGTAGTGTGATGTTTTAAGGGGTTTTAGGGTAAGACTGTTGCTAGCAAGCTTGGTTTCGGTTAAGCAGATAATATCAAGATTATTGGAGAGATAATAATATTCCCAACTTGCTGTTTAAGGTTTTTGTTAAACCCTCAAATATTATATGTACAAATAAAGAGGTTAAGAGGGAAAGGTGAGTAAGTAGTTTGTGTATCTGATTTGAGAGGAACATATCTAAACCAACTAAGTAGATCTTGAAAGGGAGGGATGAAATGATTTGGAAGTAGATAAGTTTCATTAGGTAGGTATATGTAAGCTTCTTCATAGTTGTTATCTTTGTCTTTTTTGTTAAGGATAGAGATTCTAATATAATAGGTAAATAGTATGAGGGAAACTCATGAAAAATATAGAGTAAAAAGGTGTGAATTGTTTGTGGGTGATGAAGTGGAGGTAGTTTATAATGAAAGAGAAATTTATTATAGCATGTAAGAAGGTCTATAGTTCCGAGTATTTCTGTTACTTGAGTGATTGTTTTATAAGAAAAGTGGTTGGGTACATGGTAGTCTTCACTATTATATTCTTCTTCTGATATTACTTCATATGATAAGTATGATGAGTCAGAAAGTTGATCATTGTTGGTGTTTAGTGTAGTATGTGGATCATAGGGGTTTAAAGATGTTGGAGATAATACTACATAAGAATAGTCTTCTACGTCGGCCACCGTATATCTGGCTTGCACAGTTCCGCAAGGGTTAGCAACAATCAGGTTGGACATTAGAGAGTTGTTTAATTCTATCTCTTCCGGGTAAATGGGCTTAACCACCTGCCCACTTACATCATTTTCCTCTCTAACTACAAGGGGCGTATCTTTTAGAGAGGTGGTGGCTGCATTTATACATGTTAGCAAAATCCCGACTTACTAAAGTTTGGGATTTGTCCACTATCCCAAATCCCAAATCCCAAATTCTAGTATAACTAATATCTCAAAAACTTTATTAATAATCTTTATTTAAACAAATTATATATATTCTTATAGTTATAAATAATATATTTACAAAATATTAAGATTATTTATTTGATTTAATCTTTTATAAATAGCAATTGTTTTTTTATTATTTAGAATTTGTCCGGGTTTTGCTAGCAAGTATAGTTGTTGCATCTGCATCTAATGTTTGGCTTAATTTAACATGATCAATTGTTTTGGAGGGGCTTACAGAAATATCACACTTTGGAGATATTTCACCTATAATAAGTTTATCAAAAAACTCTTTAATGATTATTTCATATAGTATTGGATAAGCATACTAGCTATGAAGTGTTTTGACCTTTTTGAAATATAGATATTTGTGATTGACATATTTTTATTAAATACAACTTTACATGTGTGTTATGATTTAAATTTTAAACTGACTCTTTTATTTATATATTTATTTTTTTTACAGATATATACATTTTATTTGTTTATTGTAAAACTCAAAATAATACACATAGGCATTATTTGATGGTACATAATAATTGATAATCAAGTCATATATTAAGAAAAAGAAAAATGCAAATTCTTGACCTGCAAATAACATTTCTGATTTTCAGATAAGCATTACAAATTTGATAATCATATTTTTTTTCTTTTCAAAGTTCAATTATTGTAATTTGTTTAGTGTTTGTAGTCAATTTCACATTAGTCGATAAAATCAGTTTAGCTAACTTAGTCAGCTAATTTTTTGAAAAATTGGCTTAGCTGACTATATATATGTTATATTAAAATTTAGGCTAGTCTATATTAGAAGCCGAAAATTTCCAAAAAAAAAATCAACGAATATAAAAATACAAGCAAAGTTGAGACAAAAAATTTGAGAAATCTCCGATAACTTCTGAAGTTTAATCAAATAGAACTTCTAATAATTGACTCTGACTTAGCCAGCTAAGCTAATTTTTAAATATTGACTTAGTCAAGTCAATAAATAATGGTTGACTAGTGGTTGACTATAAACACTAAATTTGTTGTATTAAAATTCATTAATCAAGTTTTATATAAGCTTTAAGGCTACATATAAAAATTGAAATTCAAAAAAAAAGAATGATTTTTTTATTGCATTCAAGAATGTTAAGGCTATAGAATTTTCAATATGCATTAAACATTAGCAATTTTCTCATTGAAGTTTTATATAAAAATTTTGTATAGGCAATAAGTGAATTTAATACAATCAAAATCACAATCAGGAAAATAAGTAGTTAATCACCACCCAAGGATAGATACTTATGATAAAAAAATGCTACCAAGACAAAATTTAAAGTTAAGTTATTGAACACCAATTACAAAGTACTAGAAGGATTTATAATAAAAAAGAAAAAGAAGATGCACTAGAACAAAAAATTTATATATAGTTATGGTATATAAAGCCAATCCCAAAGTATGGAGAGAAATTTATGATAAATGAAAATTAGATATAGAATCTGATGTCAATTACAAGGTATAAGAACAGATTTGCTATAAACAAGAGGTGTGTAACAAAATAATATTATTATGGTATCTGACACCAATTTCAAGATGCAAAATAATAAAAAAAAAGAAAAACAAGGCACCAGAATCAAAATTTACAATTATGGTATATATATCTTATCCAAGAACCTGTCGATATATATATTATTCCAAAAAATATGCATCTTGCCCCAAATTTATCACTTTTAGATTTCATTATAGATTATAGTTTGTTATATATTACAAAATTCTAAATAGATTGTTGTATAGCAAATTCATGCTTAGGACATAAAAAATATATACTATATGTTTCTGAAAATAAGCAACCTCCAAAAGAAGCTATCCTCTTTTCTCTTGAAGAGAAAACATAAGAAATACCTTTGTTCTAAAAATAAGCTATTCCTATTAGCTCCAAGTAGTTGCTATATATAAAAGTCGAAATTCTATTAAGTAAATCAACAAAAGTCACTTAATAGCGGTTGTTCAGAAGGTAAAAATACACCTATTCTGAAAGTTGCAAGCGAATCAGAGAACATTTTACTAAGATGCTTTGCATTTTACGTTCAAACATAAAATGCAAAAACATCTTAGTAAAAAGTTCTCCAATTAGCTTAAAACTTTCAGAATAGGTGTATTTTTACCTTATGAACAATCGCTATTAAGTGACTTTTGTCGATTAACGTAATAGAATTTCGACTTTTATATGTAGCAACTACTTGTAGTTTAATAAAAATTAATTGTATTTCATGATTTTTGTGTTACTTTTTGACCAAAAAAGAGTAGCTTATTTTCGGAAACCTACGGTATACTCTAAGCATGCAAAAGTTTGCAGGTGCATATATAAATAGCAGCATAACTCTAGTTTAGTGCATTGTTAGTGTTTTCTTTTTTGAGTTTGTATCATCTGATATATTGCGTCAAATCTTGCAGAATAGCACATACCGTTTAATAGTCAATTTTGGCTACTAGTAGATTGGTCAAGTTTGTATTTTATGTTATATTTATACAACAAAATTATTGAATTAATAGGCCAGACCCTTCAACTGTTAATTTGTTGCTCATAATTTGACCAATCTCTGAATATGTATAACAATATGAAACTCATGCTTAAATCGAGACGTTTAGACACTACAAAAGAATTTTTTTTTTTTTTTTCTTGTAAACTAATATCTATATATTCACATCATCGCTATGCTTGCAAATAGTTTTTTTTATTCTATTTCCTAATATTGAATTTATTGTGAATTCAGAATTGGTAGCTCAATCATTTGGCAATTACTTCTCAGATTTTTTTTACTTGTATTTTTGAGACTATTTTATATTATTATTCTTGATAAGATATTGAACCCATTAAGAAAGTTTCACCAAGGATCTGCAAGTCTCTATTTCTAATAAAAGGCACAAATATAGGTGCTTTATGCTATAAGCACAAAAGACTTAGTCTAAATTACTGGCATTAGTATACAAAGTTCCTGGCCTAAAGATGCTTAGAACTTCACATATAAGCCTACAAATGTCTGGAACTTTGTGTTAGTGAATACAGGTAATCTCACAAGCACTAATGCCAGGCATGATATCTAATATGTCTAACATGAGCATTTACAGATTACTTGGATATCAGAAGTTTATGAATTTTAGTAGGTATTGATTCAAATAGGAATCTCAAATTACAACATTAGTATAGGCTGCTGCAATTATTTTTCTACAACTATTTTAATAGAAATTTTATATATTTTGAATAATTTAAATAGACTAATTAGAAACTAGAGTTACTGGTGAAACTAGTGACTATCTAAAATCTGATTGGCTATTATAGTAAACAGTCAATCAGATTTTAAATAGTAACCAATTTCACTGGCTTAATTTAGTTTCACCAACAACTTTGTTAGAGACCGAATAGTATGGAAAAAATTTACTATAAAGTACTGCATTTAGTGTCTCCAGATTAATACCATCCCACAAAAATTCTGACTTATACCCGGCTATAAATTAGGTTTGCAAGAATAGCAATGTCTAATAAAAATGAGCCTATATCTAAAATCAGTTCAAATTACTCTGAATTAGGTCTTCCTCTTCACAGTGCCTTTAGATACAAATTAAGTTAATCATCGTGTTTTGATTTATATCTGGGTATTGAATACAATGCTCTACTACAAATTAAATCAATGAGTATCGAATATATACCAGAAGACAAGTTTCCTAATATGTCTGGTATAGATTTGCCAAATACCTGCTATATATTAGCAGCATATTGGTAGCATATTGGTAAGATATCAGGAGATAGATCAATATCAGTAACATAACAACAAAATATTAGAATGCTCTAATATCCTACACTTAGCATTTCTGGGTTTAAAAGTAAGATATCAGAATATCTCAATATATTGATATATCAAGATTAGGCTATATTACTTATAAAAAATTTTATATATATAAAAAAAACCTCTGGGTGGCTGGGTCCAAAAATTTTTTAAATGTTATATAAACCAGTTTATTTAATTTGTATTGCCTAAAGTAAATAAATTTTGGGTGCTGGTTTTTATACCTCTACATTTATTAACAATACCTTATAATAAAACAAAACCTTTGAGCAACAATATCTTGACAACCACCTGGTAAAATTTGATAAAGATTTTTTATTTTAATTCTATTAGTTTAATTGATTCGAATAAAAAAAAATTTATTGAATATCTTTGCTCAAAGTTTTTAAAAAAACAAAACACCTATCAAAATAATTTTTTAAAACTTTGAGTAAAGATATCTTGACAACCACCAAACAAATCTTTTTTATTCAATTAGGCTAAACTCATATAATCAAAAGAAAAAAGTTCATCGAATTTGATCAGGTGGTTGTTGAGATGTTTTAAAAAACTCCAAAATAAAGAAATTGTGCCAAATTTTTTTAAAACTTTGAGCGAAGATATCTCGACAACCACCTGATCAAATTCGATGAATCATTCTTTATTTGAATCCTCAACTCTTATAAAATTCAAATAAAAAAAGATTCATCGAATTTGATCAGGTGGTTGTCGAGATATCTTCGCTCAAAGATTTAAAAAAACTCAAAACATCTATCAAAATAAAGAAGCTGCGCCAAATTTTTTTAAACCTTTGAGCAAAGTTATCTCGATAACCACCTGATCAAATTCGATGAACTTTTTTTTTTTTGATTATATGAGTTTCGCCTAATTGAATAAAAAAGATTTGTTTGGTGGTTGTCAAGATATCTTTACTCAAAGTTTTAAAAAATTATTTTGATAGGTGTTTTGAGTTTTTTTAAAACCTTGAGCAAAGATATCTCGACAACCACCTGACCAAATTCGATAAAATTTTTTTTATTCGAATCGACTAAACCGAATAAAAAATTTTTATCGAATTTTATCAGGTGATTGCCGAGATATCGTTGCTCAAAGTTTTGTTTTGTTAGGTGGGTATGGTTAATAAATGTAGGTGGTATAAAAACTAGCTTGCTATAATTTTAAATTTAAAAGCAAAAAAACAATTTATTTAACCAAATTCGATAATCTAAGTATAGAAATGATTCATTTATTCTTTTGTTAATCAATTCATCAGCCCATAAAAAATAAAAAAAAAGTTGTAAAAATGGTAGGAAACTTAATTAATAAATGAAATAGTTCTTTGTGCTAATGGATATGAATCGAGTAATAGATAACATTGCAAGTGTTTTGAAAATCAACGAAAAAAATCAAGTTTTACGATATTAGAGTTACGGTTAGAGTAACAATTTAAAATAGGAAGTTGTACCAGTAGAATTTCCAAAATAAAAATTGCCACTTTGTTTTCTACAAGGCGTTAAATAAGTGTATATTTTAAAATTATTTCTATATTATCGTTATTTGTATCGTACGTATGTAGCTAGCATATAAGCCAAAAATATAACTTTTATTTGCAATTAATGATGGGTAATAAAAGTAATGTATATTGAGATTCAGATATCAATGCTGTATATTGGCGAGACCTTGAATTAACATAATCAACATAATCTTAGGGAACTAAAGCGTTACAAATAAAAAGATTTATGAAATTATTATTTTTTTTTATTGGAATTGGGAAATCTAAAAGTCCAATGGGTGTTTCAGTTTTCTGCACTGACACCGTATTACGGTTTATGTTTTACAGGTTAATTAAAAACCTTAATGCTAATTAAAATATTGTATCATTTCTCATTGATCTAAATCCATTATTTGAGTACATCGTTTACGCGCTATATCTCTAATGATATAAAGTATATTTTGGTGTTACACGAGAAAGTATGATTCAATATATATATATACAAAAAAACTTTTTCATAATGATCAAAAGCTTATGCGTGAATTATTATCATTATAAGAAATAGATCAGTCGAATATGTTTTTTCTTTTTTTTTTTAAAAAAAAAAAAAAAAAAAAAAATCGGCTGGTTAGGCCGAAAATTAGTTTACCGATTTTTTCATTATTGGCCAGTCATTAATGTCTACGCCTGCTTTCGCTATCTTTAGTTCTGCTGTGTCGACTTTGATGGTAGGAAATATGCCGCTTTTTATGTTTATGACTACTGCTGCGATAATCATCTTTGGAAGAAGTATTCAAATGCTTAGATCGAGACCCTCTTCTATCGTGATCTTCCTTTTCTGGAGACTCATGCCGATGATGTGAACGATGGTACTTACTAGTCCGATGCCTGTGAGATGATGAATGACGTCGTTTTTCAGGTGATGATGAAGATGGATACTTTTCGGGGGAAGGAGGCGTAGTAGGTCTATCATCAAAAGACATCCTATCATCTTCCAATAGCAGGGCGTCATCATCATTTGTAGATACGTCAATAACGTTATCATTGTCATCATCATACACGTCATCAGGCACTAAATCTTCCGGTGCTAATATTGGTTTGGGAGAGCGAGATCGCGTTCGGCGGTCAATATCTTCTGAAAGTTGTTCAGCAAACACTGGAGGACTAACCCTATCATCTATAATATCTGTGTCAATATTGTGGTTGGGGCTAGGGTATTCTGATTTGCCATTCTCGTGATTTATTGCCGGTGATCTCGTTCGAGAACTATTTTTATACTCTTCGTAATCAAATCGTTCATTAGACAAAGAATTATTTTCTTTCCGATCATCCACCGAATCATGTTTAGGATCTCTCCTTTCATTAATAGATCCAGACTTTTCGTAGCGTGAGCTGTATGACTCGCGGCGATCATCCCGTCTTTCATTCTTTGATTCATGTCTATCATCTCTCCTTTCTGATATATCGGAATTTCTCCTGTCACCTCTCCTATCAGATAAATTAGAATCTCGCCTACTTTCTCTTCGTTCAGGTAAATTAGAATCTCTCCTCTCTTCCCTTTTTTCAGGTATAGAATACCGACGATCGTCGTAATATCGACCTGAGGAATATCGACGTTCATCTTTTCTATCAACATATGCTTCCCGACTACGACTACGACGCCTTGAAGATGACGTTTTTCGTCGATCAGGAGATGAGCGATCATGTCTTGAAGGAGATCTGCTATGACGTGAATCATGTCTCCGTGATGATTGATGACGACTTCGACTTCGACTTCTACGTGACCTTTCTTTACTTCTACTACGAGTTGGTGCTTTGTCTCTAAGTCTTCTATCTTCCAGTTCGTTATCTAATATCGCGTCTCTGTCGCGCCTGTCACGGTCAGATGTATGAGAAGGTGACTTTTTATCCCGAGGTTCAATATCTCTTTCGGCAGAAACGCGCGATGCAGACGATTTTCGTCGTGCTAAATCACGCCCAAAATCATCTACAAGTCGATCATCATCATATTTCGGTTCATCATCACGATAATCAGACCTTTCGACATAAAAATAATATATTAGTATCACGATGCGTATACGTTTTTAATCCAATTACTTACATATCTCTTCTTCCAATCGAAGGTGGAACACTTGATTCTCGTCTAAAATCACCAATTCCACTACGTCCACTAGCAAATGATGAACGATCGTTGAAAAATCCAGGGCTACCTCTTCCGCGGCCACGGGCGCGGTTCGGAAAATTGCCGCGTGAAAACCCTCCACGAAAGTTGCCACCTCTAAATGGTTGCATTCCTGCACTACCACCCATTCCATTACCCATATTCCCTGCAAACGGTACAAAATTGCCTTGTGGTGGCATCATTGGCCTATTATCCCAAAATTCATCATATACTGGTGGTCTAAAATGCGGCATAAACTGTGGTTGCGAAGGGAATGGTTCTGCAGGATAAAACCCATCAAAGTACGATGGGTCGTAATAACCTGGCCCATTCATCATATTCATACCCATTGGAGGATAACCTAATTTCGTTACATTTTGATATAAGTTAGCAAACCCACCTTTTAACTAACACTTTATTCCTTTTCTTCTTACCTTCATCGTACCAATATCCTTGATTTTGATCATAACCAAATCCATAATCATTATAATAACCAAATGGTCCATACCCTTGTGATGCTACAGGATTTTGTCCAAAAGATTTCCCAGTTGCATTTGAATATTGATGCCGTTGCGCTTGTGACTGTTGGAAATGTTGTGATTGTTGTGATGAGTGTGATTGGGATTGATGTGTTGGTATTTGTGATTGTGGAATAGGTGGAAGATCATGAGTTGGTTTCTTTGGTAACTCCGTTTTAGAATTCTGAAAAAAAAGTAGAAACATGTTTTACATTTAAGGCCTTATCAGATAAAGATAGATAATTAAATAAATAAACGTACCGACTCGACCTTTGCTTTTGAAATTTGGGGTGATTGACTAGAATTTTCTGTATTATCAGGTACCGTCTCTGATAAACCACTCGTGCTTTTTTCCTTTTCTTCTGTTTTTATCATAAGCTCATTTAAGGATTCTGTGGTATCTTTTTCTACCGAGAGATCTACATTATTGTTTACTACCAACGGGTCTTCTAACATTTCCATAGTATTGCTTTCATCCTCCTCATGATTTTCTGGAGCAGTAGGTTCATTTCTACGTCTAGCCCAATCCCTCAGATGACCATCGACTGTTTCCCGCGCTGCCTTGTTTGGTACTAATTCATCAGGTACCAAATGAGATTGACAATTTGGACACTTGAATTGTTGATCGTCTTGTTCGGGATTAATTAAAGCGTGGCGAATACCTATGATAATTTAATTTTGTCCATTTTATTTTACCAAATATTTTTTGTTATTTTTAAAAAAATAATGAAAGCAATTTGTTAGTGAACGATAACCTGGCTTGAGTTTTATCGAGTAGATTTGATACAAGGTGCTGTAAAGTTAGTATTTAAATGAAACAAAGTTCCGTGACAAAGTGTTAATTGCTCTTATACATATTCCATTCAATATTCCATTAGTGATTGATTCACTGGATCTTTCGTGATACCTCAACTTGAATGCTCAGATTGCCAAAAGAATTATCCATTATATTATCTTGATATTATCACTAGTATGAATACATATTCACATGGGCATTGAAGAATTCATGCCATTCTGGAAAAGAGATTCATTTCTTTTTTTGTTAAATTGGCAAAAGCATTTCAGATTAAGGTATCACTAACTAAAAGTGTTGATCTACACTTCCATATGTCATAGAATTGATGAAAAAACTTGGAACTTGATAATCATTCAGACCCACTAAACTAGACCTCGAGATTTTAAAAATTTTGAACCTCGAGAAATAAAAATGAAAGGGTTATATTTATTTTGCAGCAGATAAATTGCAAACAAAACTAAAATATAATTTGCAATAAAATTAAGGGGGAAAATATAAAACAAAAGAATCCATAATATTGTGTCTAATCTAGCCTGCCTAAACTGCCTATAAATCTCATAAAGCAATTCTAAAAAGTGTTGCCGATATGGACAACAATAACGATACGTACATTCATCACAAAATGAAGCCCGACAACACGGAGTAATAACAGCTTCTTTCAGAAGTCGAGAACATAGCATGCATTGAAGTTCGGCTGGAATTGGAAGCGTATCTTCTAAAACTTCATTGGATGTTACATATGATTTCTGACGAGCGTGAAACTTTTGCCAAGCAGCCCTAAATTAATTAATAGTAACGTCAATATGATACTATCTGAGATATTTATTATCATGTTCACTAATTGTATAATGAACGTCGATGCTTACTCATTTGCCTGTGCAATCACCAGGTTTCCATCTTGTGTGACAAGAACGCCTTTGCCAGGTGGCACTTGTTCTACTTTTTGTAAAAAACTTCTTGGTATACCGGTCGTTTTTCTGACCTTCATATGATCAAAGGATCTGTCGCCATTTGTCGGACATGCTTGAATCCAATGGCCTATAAATTTTCAAATCATCAATTTAATGTTACAAATATTTATAAGTATATATTTCTAACATGTGAAAATAAATACCTTTTTGTCCACATCTATAGCATACATAATTTGGTGGCAAAGTTTTTTGAACCGGTGGCTTGACTGATGGACGAACTTGATTAGGTCTTCGAAGCGCTGGTTTCCTAATGAAAATATAAATATATAATTAAGATTTTATTTACAATCATCTTGCACTTTATTATTATAATAACACCAAATAAAACTTACGAAGCCATTTGTTCTTGAGTTATATCCCAAAACTCCTTTGATTGTGCAAACATTGCTTGAATTTTATCATCTTCCGTTTGATGTTCGTCTGTTTGCTGAGTAGAAGGAGTTGGCGTTAAGCGAGAAACCTGCTGTGGTTGCTTTGATGGGTCAAATGTTTTTGACATAGACCTACACATTTAAATATTTTGTGAATCAAAGTAATTTAAAATCGGAACATTAATTAACAAATGATATTTACCCATTAGATGCTCTGTTATTAGCTACATAATTACGTTGCGTTGTAGGCCCTCCGCCCTCTAAATAACGATGTGCGGTTCCTTTCCCAGGTTTAGTTGGGACGCGCTTCACTACAATTGGGGTATTTCTTGGTATAGTCGCAGTATCTTCCTGATAATCTAAGTAATTAAGTTTCGATTAAGTGGTCCGGCTAATTTGAAATATGATAAAGGGCGTTGCCAAGTTTTTACAGCTGCGGAGAGCTGATGCAAAAGCTAGATCTTTACCTTCACCTGATTCAGCATGAGATACTATAATATCAAAGTCATTTCCCTTTAATTTTTTTGCAGTTAGAATTTCTTTTTTTGCGTCAAATACAGAGATTCCTAACCCATCGAACGTAAGCGTATCATAATCTTTGGCACTTTTGAACTTGTAATAAATTTGAGATATAGACATTTAAGCGAAATTTTAGTAAAAAATGATTTGAATAATTGAATATCCACACTATTATATCAGATCAAAGTGAAGTTGTATGTAATATCACATGATTCCGTATAGCTAGCCCCACGGAGTTTTGGAGTTCTTTTTTTGGAAATGAAAATGGTGCATTTCATTGGGGGATGACCTATCCCCTAACGCTAAACTTGGCCCTTAATTTATAAATAGTAGTACAATTCTACCCCGTTAATATCTATTACGTATCATCACCCTGTTAATCTTGATATATATCTGATATGTATTTTAACACCTACCCCGTTAATTAGCAATACCTCTTTACGTATTAGTTATTTGTCATATCTGAAACTTTATCATATGATTTTTATAAATCGACATTCTTTTCACCATAGTCACAATATATATAAAGTTATATTGAAATTTTGTTAAAAGGGTATACTGTATTTGAAAAGTCTTTAATATATTAATAAAAAGAGTATAATAAATTTTGTTTAATTTTTTTTTTCTTTTAACACGGCCTTTTATATAATTGGATTTTTATTTTGTTTTTAATTAATATCGATATACAGTAGAGTTCCGATCCATTAAGCATAACTATCAGATCTGAATTATCCGGATAATTAGATACGGATAAACGGATGACGGATTGGATCTCAATAAAAGTATAGCGATTATAATTTTTAATATATATACTATATATATGTCGTACCCCAGGTTGGAATTGACCCGATTCAGAATCGGGCCGCCCCAGATAAATTGCGAGGACCAACATGAGGTTGGGTTCCAACGTGAGGTCAATTATGATTACTAATCATTGGCGGACTTTTAAATACTAATTGACCTCACGTTAGGGTGTGCAAATGATCATCACTAATTGCGGATTTTTTATTGATCTTATTAACGGTTAAACCAAAATTTAGATTTGTTGAAATAAATAATTAACTAAATGGAGTACTATTTTTTTTTTAAATTGAACCTCAAGACTAGCTCTACACTGAAATTTTTATAATATTTTTATAAAAAATATTTAGAACACTAATGATTAGTTTTCTTGGTAATATTCTTTTACTTTTTTAAAAAAAAGATTAAAAAATAGCTCTATTTCAGTGTAAAGCTAGTTTAGTAATCATATTAATGTGGGGTTCGATTTACAATACATATTAATTATATTAGGTCATACAAGCTTAATAAATTGGTTTCCATTACTTTAAAATCACGAAAGCAATTTTTGGGATTTTATTTTCTAGATTTTGAGCATCAGAATTTTAAATATCAGGATTCCGAGACAAACCCAAAAATTACCATTAGAAAATCCGCAATTAGTGATGTTCATTAGTAACCCTGACTAGGGTGTTCAATAAACTAATTGATCATTAGAGTCATTAAGTTCTGATTTTTTAAAGGGTTATTTCATATATGAATTTATATACTAGGTAAATGGAAACTATTCAAAGCCCGAAGAACCAAATATAAATTTTAAATTTATACAGTATTTAAAATCGTTTGTTTTTAACAATATTATTATTAACGATATTATTTAACGATATTATAATTTTGCTTGTCTCATTTTGCCATATATGATCATATGGTATGGATATTTGCGAATAGATTGTAACAGTTTTTGCCGTGTATAGATTAGATTGCAATGACTTCTATCGTTTTATAGTTAGATTGTAACAACTTTCTACCGTATGTGGATTAGATCTAATTGGATCTACACCCAGAACTTCCCTGTAATTCTGAGAAAGGAAATTTTCATCCGTCATTTTTATAAAACAAGTTCAATATCAATTGCAATTGCAATACGTAGCAATAGCAATAGCAATTAATATTGCAATTGATATTTCATATAAATAATTTTTGACAACACCGACACAATAATGGACTGTTGTTAAAAAAGCTTCAAACAGCTATTTCTTTCATGTTTTGCTTAGAATAATTAACCCAATTCTGAGTTTTAACCGTTTTTTTTTTTTCCGTCAGAAATTTTACAGGTCCGATGAATTGATAATCACTGATTATCAAAGTTCATAACGAAAGACCATAGCGAAAGAATAAGGATATTTCCAAATGCATAAAATGATGATGTGACTTAATCTGCTGAAGAACATGATCTTTATTCTAAGAAATTAACGTGATGAAAAACTGCTGATTTATGATAATTACCATTATCTGACTAGAGACTTAATCGATCTTTCAATTTTTTTACTTATCGGGTTGTATTCTTCTCAATATATTTTGTAACAGGTGATAATTTTTTTTATATATATGAAAAAACGAGTATTTCTACATTTTTACCAATAATTTTGCTTATGTGAAAATGAGATATGCAAATAGTCATTTGTCACTTCATGGGAAATTCATGATATCTAATCTAGTAATCAAGAACATTATGTTCGTTAATATCCACTATCCGGTTTTTGAAAATACTAGAATCTTATTCTGAATAAACAAATTATAATAGAATTCTAAAATGTGCTCAAGTTGTTAAAGAATTCCAATTCAACTTACAACAAAATTATATTTTATTGAGTACGTTGTTTTGGAATTTAAATTACTTTAAGATAGAATTTATTCATAACATAATGACATTGCAAATTAATTAAATTTAAAACATGACACGAAATTTTTACATCTATGATTAGTGAAATAGCAACTATTTCTACAGAGTATACATTGCGATTTTGTCTCATGCATTTTTTGCAATTGCATTAATATTACCTACTTGTGAGAGGATTGCTTTTCGAATGCTATGAGCATTGAAAGAATACTATTTTAATATCTTATAAATTTTTTATGCAAAAATAAGTCTTCATGTAAGGCTCTATCGTTGCCTAATTGCCGAATATTTGGAAAGCAATGATAATTTAATATTCGGTCACTAGGTAGAGAGAGTTGCAAAGAATGAAAAATGAAATAAAAAAAAAAGAAATAAGATATTTGTATTTTATCTCGACAACATATCATGATTTATTATAATAAAGCAGTATCAAATTTTAAATTAAATTGCTATTAAATTTATCATTTACATATATAGTACCAAAAATATAGAATCAACTTAAGCTGCTTTTAAATATTATATCAACTTGGACTATATTTGAAATTCCATTTCAACCTAAGTGATTCTAAATCTATAATAATTTGTTCCGATATACGACATATATACTACTAAAGTATATAAACAGAATTTAAATATGAGATCTAGGTGGTTGTCTATGAATCTGAATCATTTACAGATATCATTAATTCGAATTTGTTAGAAAACTGTAGCTTAAGCCTGTAATTATTGCGGCATTTCGATCATTTGCATGATTAATGTAGTAATCAATTTATAAATTTAAAATTGCAAATCAGAGATACAAAAACAACCAGTTACGTATTAACTATAGGGCGTTCTCAAACGCCTCAATTAATGGATCAAAATATGTCAAAAATGCATCGGGAATTAAATTTTAATTAGCGGAAAGTAATTTTAATCAATCAATCAAGCTTGTCATTAAGATGAGTAAGGTAGTTTATTACGTAAAAGAGAAATTTTAAATAATAAAAAATGATAAGTGAGTTTACCATTTCAGTCAAAAAACATTTTGTCCCAAACCATCTTTTTTTTGCCCTAACTTATCAAGCCTTTATAAATATTAAAATGAATAAAGTATTGTTCAGGTGTTTTCATATTTTTATTATATATTTTCATTATTGACATATTTTTTGTAAAAATTTCGATAAACTATTTAGAATCCTCTCAATTTGTGATTGAGATCTTTATTTTGACCTATCATTGCAATTGAGCATTTCTACAATTTTTAAAAAAATCACAGTAATAGCAATGTTTGAGCATATCTCAATAATATCGTTATTCATATTATTGACTTTTATCCAAAATGTTATGGCAATAGCTAAAATTACATCATAATACTTGTGCACTATTTAGATCACTATGAAATCGCATCTAGATTGACGCTTGAGAACACCCATAGTCTCTTGTATAATAATATTATAACTCAATTGTCATCTATACATAATTTTTAAAATCAATTTTTGCATGCATAAGTTATTTTATTAATTGGGATAAATAGTAACTTTGATACAAACTTACGATGGAATTCAATGATAATTCAATACAAACTAACTACATACAGTCACCCCCCTAAGTGCATCCCGTCGGGATTATAGTGAAAAAAATTAAAATTTTGCAGTTAGAGGGTGTTTGCATTTATAGAGAGTAAAATATATAGGACTCTTATAAGTTGGGGCCAAACATGATTGTGCATTTAGAGAGGTTTTACATAGTA